GGTCCTGAAAGAGGACTTGGGGGCCAAGGCAGCTGGCTGCAAGAGGCTTGGCACGTTGAGCAAGGAATCAAGAAAGTAAGTTCCTTTAAACAATATATGTATGTCCATACATATACAAGGAACTTACTTTTTGTGTGTGCATATGTATATGTATGGCTATTTATGTAGGATTGCAGATCTTGACTCCTCCTAACAGGAAGACCCTGAACTATGGCTTGCTGCTTGAGTCAAGAGGTACCAATTTATTTGTGCTATCACCCCAAGTCCCCTACTCAAAAAGATGACCTGTGCAGTCTTCTCCAAAGAACAGTGCGTTCAGGCCTGGTTGGACTAAACTGGGGGTAGGTGCCAAGACTGCAAGGGCCCTCCTTGTCCCTTCCACCTTTCTGCAGCGAAAGGGCTCCCTGTTTGGATGTTCAGATCATAACTGCTGTGCTTTTGTGATAGGAGAGGGGTGTCTCTCAACCAAGCAGGGCACCAAGCTAGTTTTCATTTTGCAAGTTAAAATCATTGCCTTGGCCAGTGGCATACTTGAGATGGGGGTACCCATACCAGACACCACCTTTGAGAAGGGCCCAAAGAAATCACAGCAGCAGCTGGCCACACCGCACCCATCAGCACAGCAGCAGCTGGCACTGCCCTATGCGCTGCGGCTGTCCAGAGCTGCCCAATGTCTCCGGCCTCAGCTGCCCCTTGGATGCAAAAGGCACCTGGTGTGGCTCATAGAGCACCAGATCACGTCCTCACAGCCAACAGATATGGCAAACCCAGCTGCAGCATTAGGGCACGTGTCTCTGGATGTGGACAGATGTGGCTTGCAGAACACATACGGTCTCAGCCGCAAATGGCTGAGAGGACAGAGATGGAAATGGAGCAACTATATTGTAGAGCGCTTGGCAGGAGAAGAGCCGCTGATGGCCAAAGCTGGCGACCTATTTCTGATGCTCACGAACACTAGCTGACACTAGTCGTGTAACACTCGTCTAAGCAGACAGATGCCAGGCTGCACTGGGAAGTCTCATCAGGCAGCTGAAATCCCAAGGATGAGAGATGCTAATGTCTAATAAAGACACTTCTGAAA